GCTCAATTGTCATATTTAAGCCTTCACTACAATATAATAATAATTAAAGGAAGATCATTTCATTTTTTTAATAATTCGGTAAATGACATGAATGTTGTATCTTGGGAATTTGGAAAAAAGAAACATGTCTTATTGAGCTAACTTTTCTTCAAGCTAAGGTTATTTGCAAGAATCAAAACACCATTCACCCAGAAAGAAAAGGGAGATTATATTTCAAAGAGTGGTCTTTGTGACCTTCAATGCACTACCTGGGGTGACTAGAGCTGCGGGCCCAATTTTAAGTTTAAAGAGCCGTCTTATATTTGACACTTTCCCCACAATGGATTAAAGTCAGTACATTACTAATACTCAGAAAGTTCTCAGGTATATGTTACATGTAAATGCTAATGTTACAAATAATAATCAAAAATTTATAGTTTTATTAAAACTTTTTTTTTATATGTTATTACAATTTAGTTTTAAGAAATAAATAACAAAATGAAAAAGAAGAAAGATAAATATATCAAGTAAATTTTATAATGGATATTAAATTAATCAATCATCCATTGATAATCCATCAATCTTATCAATTATTTCAATATCTTTTCCTTTACTATCATTACTAGAATCTAATGTTTATTAATTGATTAAATCGGAATAAAAAAAATATTGTTGGTAGTAATTAATCTCTAATTAATTAATGAAGTTTTTATTCACATTCAACATTAAGGGAAATCAAGATTATTTAATGAACTACCATTACTTGTATAACTTTTTAAGCCTCTTGATTTAATAATTTCACCATCTAATATTCTACTTGTATAATATGCATCTGGATGTGATTTGTATACTTGTTGTAAATCATTACTACCACTACTAGTAGTGTTATTACTAACACTATTATTATCATTGTTATTTTTAAGAATTTCTTCATATTTATCTTTAGCAAAATAATAAAGTTCTCTAATAGTTGGTCTTTTTGATGGATCCACATCCCAACACTTCTCCATCATTTGTGCATAATCATCAGGCATTCCTGGTAATATTGGTGGCCGTAAACCTTCACATATATCAAAAATTAAACAATGATTATGAGCTCTATTGTCAAATGGTGGATAGCCTGCAAATATTTCCCA